ACTCTTAAATATGAATACAATACCATTTTGACAAAGCAAGTAAGTTACCAAATTTCTCAGTTACGAGTGCGTTATTTTGAGCTTGGAGAAAAGCCACATACTCTCCTATCTCGACAACTAAGAGGCCAACAGAACAGTAGAGCAATACACAAAATTAGGTCCAATACAGGTGAAATTATTACTACTCCAAAATCTATAAACAAATGTTTCACAGAGTTTTACAAGGAATTATACAGAACAAAAGCACAGGGGAACATAGATTCCTGGCTAGAGGGAGTCCCCATCCCAATGCTTGAGAGTCCTACTCGAAAGGTCTTAAACCAACCACTGACCATGAAAGAGATCTCTGATTCTGTTAAATCATTCGCCTCTGGGAAAGCCCCAGGTCCTGATGGGTTTGGAGCTGAATTTTATAACAAGTTTGTTGGACAAATATCTCCACTCTTGCATAGGATGCTGCTTCACTCAATGGCTACAAAAACGCTTCCGCCCAGTTTATATGATGCAAACATTGCCCTTATGCTTAAACCAGATAGAGACGACACAAACCCTGCATCATATCGCCCTATATCTATGTTGAATCTAGACTGTAAGATTTTTACAAAAATTCTGGCCAACAGACTAAATTCTTGTATTGAATCAATTATACACAAAGATCAAACAGGGTTTATCCCTAACAGACATTCTTTTTTTAATACAAGAAGAGTGCTAAACATCACACATCACAAATTTCCAGCAAGGTCAAAACAAACTATACTATATTTAGATGCTGAAAAGGCGTTTGATCAAGTTGAATGGGGGTTTATGTTCAAGGTTCTTGAAAGATTTGGGTTGGGGGAACCCTTTATTTCCTGGGTACACTTAGTTTATATGTACCCGACTGCCTCAGTTGTCACCAATCAAGATAGATCTACTCAATTTTTATTGGAAAGAGGCACACGGCAGGGGTGCCCACTCTCGCCATTGTTATTTGCCCTTGCCATCGAACCCCTAGCCATCAGTATCCGAGAAAACCCAGATATTAAACCCATAACAATTGGAGGAGTTGATCATAAAATATCGTTATACGCTGATGATATTGCCATTTTCTTATCGGATCCTGAGCTCTCAATCCCTACACTATTGGATGTAATAAATGGTTTTGGTGCCGTCTCTGGCTACACTATAAACTGGCAAAAGAGTGATCTCATGATTCTCTCAGCAGATTTAGATCCCGCGTTTCTATCCTCAATTCAGTTCAACATTTCAGATAAAGTTAAATATCTAGGTATCAGAATAACAAAAAATCCAAATTCTCTTTTTAAGTATAATTTTACTGCTAGACTAAACTCCTTAAAAGAGAATATAGAAAAATGGAGAATACTGCCTCTGTCACTTATTGGTCGGATTAATACAATTAAAATGGTTTCCCTCCCAAGATTTACTTATTTATTTCAGAACATTCCAATATATCTCCCAAAAAAATTCTTCAAGCTGATTGATTCGGTTATCCTGCCATTTATCTGGGGCTACAAATCACATAGAATATCAAAAACACATCTTCAACAGCCAAAGAAGTGTGGTGGTTTGGGCCTACCATGTTTCCTACATTATTACTGGGCTGCCAATGCCAGAGTGTTGATATTCTGGCAGATGACTCCAGATTTAGCTACTTCAGAAAATGTCCCATCTTGGCTAACAATAGAACATAGCTCATTTTCAAAATTATCTCTTCAGGCACTTCTTTTTGCATCACCAAGACCCCGGACCTCTACACGAGGAGAACATTTTATCATACAGCAATGTGAGAAAATTTGGTTACAGATTCGAAAATATTGCCAACTTCTTAATCTGTCCATTCATGCTCCAATATGGCATAATGCATTTCCTCCGTCGTTTACAGATGCTGTTTTTAGAGAATGGTCCCGTAAGCGTATAGTGTCAATCAAAGACGTATATATAAATAAAAAATTCTGTTCTTTTGAACAATTAGAAGCAAAATACAGTCTACTTAAGAGTCATTTTTTTAGATTTTTACAATTAAGAAATTATGTTAGGGATAATTTGCCAAATTTTGACTCTCTCCCTTTGGATAATGATTTGTTCAAAATCATGCTCGGCCCACCAGAGTCCCAGGGTTTAATTTCCTCATTGGTCCGCTATTTTTTAAGTATGTCTGAATGTTCAACGTTAAATATAAAGCAAAAGTGGGAGGAGGATCTCAATATTAAAATCAAAGACGATGTATGGAGCAGAGCACTGGGTGACATACATTATTGCTCAGTGAACTCAAGATTGCAAGTAATACAATATAAAGTAGTTCATAGGTTACATTACTCAAAAACAAGGTTAAACAAAATTTTCCCACAAACATCACCTCTCTGTGACAGATGTAAAATATGGGACAGCACATTAGCACATCAATTTTGGCTTTGTCCAAATATTCAAAGTTTCTGGACCTCAATATTTGAATGGTACTCTCGCGCCCTTAAAGTTAACATAAAACCCGATCCAGAAACAGCCCTCTTTGGTGTCTCGGACACTCTTAACAAATTGGGTCGTGATGTAACAACAGTGGTCTCCTATGGCATGATGATAGCCAAAAGATGCATATTAAAGCAGTGGAAGGCTGACAGACCACCTAATTTTGAATCTTGGATCAAGGAATTTACAGAAATCTTGCACATAGAAAAAATTAGGTTTGATTTAATAAACTGTCCTCAAAAATACTACAAAATTTGGAAACCCATTCTAGAACAATTGAAGCCATAAAGAACCCCTATCCTCCCCTCTTTTCTTTGTTCTACTTTATCTCATTTGTTATGAATAAAGGTGTGGACACTCCTAATTGATTGGTTGAAACTCCATAAAGTGTGTTTTTTTACTTTCAGTATGTCCAAAGTGTAAATGAACAAATAATTTTTATATAATATTATTTATTGTGTGTCTAATGCTTTTTTGTTGTCGTTTTTTGTTTTTGTTTTTTTTGTGACAAATGCTAAAGGATTCACTAAAGGACATTAATCATTGTCATGTTTTCGTTATATACCTGTAAAAAATTCTATAAAAATAAATATAAAAAAAATAAAAATAAAAAAAAATAACTTTACAATCCATCTACCCAAAATATTTTGCAAAGTCTCTTTACCAGAGTCTAATGCTTCAAATCTGTAAACTGTTCTAAAAACAATTTAAACTTTTAACATTTAGACTTACTGTTTAAGAAGTAATATTTCTGATCAACTGGAATTTATTTAAAGTTTTAATTGCATTTCAAAAATTGGGGATTTCCAGACTAGTTTAAATAATATGCTATTTGAGAAATATTATTTTCAATGTAAATACAATAGAACTGTTGGTGTTTTAATATATTTAAATAAAATAGTATCACATGTATGGAAGACCAATCCTGCCACAATTAAAAATAAATACATAAATAAATAAATGCTCAATAAATAAATAAGCATACAATTAACTGCCCCCAGAAATACAATAAATAAATGTAGGTAGAAATTAAATTACACAGTGAGACATAAATGTATATATCTCTTTTAATTAGCTTCTTTATTTATTAGCTTTTGTTATAATTACCTTATTTATTTATTGTCCTTTATAATCTTCAACTTTATTTATTTACTATTTTTGTTAAGTATTTATGTGCATGTGATAATATTTTTGTCTGTATTCGTTTTTTGTGTTTTTTCCCCCTATTTATTTCCTCCATGCTGTTTATTTCTCATGTCGTTTTTACATTTCTGTATACATTTCTGCCTCATTATGCAAATGAGGAAGGGGGTGTGTCTTAAGGGCTCAACTTCTGCCCATTGGTTGGTTAGCATTTACTGCATCAGTCGAATCTACAGGAGGAGAGTCTGAAGAGCGCGAGTATAGACTTGTGTCCTCGCCAAGTATGCTCTTGAGAAGAACCCAGGAAAGGGGGGTCTCGGGGAAAACAGGAGCACACAGCATAAATCTGGGTCAATTATATCAGAAGCGTACTGATGACATATCAGAAGCGTACTGATGACATCACCACATGCTCTTCTGAAGCTGCTTTTCTCCTCCTGTTATTAATAGTTCCTAGATAATAATAAATTCTGACATTTTTCATTTAGTGGGGGAATAATAATGAACACAATCAGATAAAAACAAATCAAATGAACAGGAGACAGGAGAAATAAATAGCATGGAAGAAATAAATAGGGTAATACAGACAAAAATATTATCACATGCACATAAAGAAATACTTAAAAAAATAAATAATAAATAAATAAAGTTTAAGATTATAATGGACAATAAATAAATAAGGTCATTATTACAAAGGTGGAAAAAAAATGAAATAAGCTAAAAGAGATATATACATTTTTGTCTCACTGTATAATTTAATTTCTACCAACATTTATTTATTGTATTTTTGAGGGGCAATTATTGTATGCTTATTAATTTTTGGAGCATTTATTTATTTCTGTATTTATTTTTAATTATGGCAGGATTGGTCCTCCACAGTGGCGCAAAAACTGGGTATGCAGCACATGAAATGCATAGGGGCGCTGCACTCGAGGGGGCGTCAAAAAAACCATCTATATATACAATGTATATACACACAGAATGAAAGGTAATTCCACTGGATCTGGTCTTTAGCCTCCTTTTATTTGTGCACCCTCAGTTGGAATAAAAGTCGGCCATTCTGAGGATTAGCTCTACAAGTTTGCAAACTGTCAATACAAAATCAAAATGATGTATTAAAGCAGAAAGGCAGATCGTTCAATTTGTCCCATGTAACCCGTGAAACATTCTCATTTTCAGCCAGCTGATTTATCTGGAAATCAGTGAAGAATTCCCCGGAGTCCAAGCGTCTAAAGTCATTGAATAGGGTTAACATTAACTGACATTTATTGTCTCTGACAGCCGCTTGGTCTGATCCAAGATGGCCGCTCTGCCGGCACGCCTCTCACCCGATGATGCGGGGTCTATGTTGTGACCCAGGTGTGTGTCGCTGACGCCTCCTTCTTCCTCGTGTTTTCCTGAGTCGCTATAAACGGAAGAGGAATGAAATGTTTTCGAGTTATTATGAAATGTATACGTTAAGTCGCTAAAATGAACTTCTTAAGAACTTCTGTTGTCATGGTTTTAATGCGGATACAAGGTGCATTATCAGGTGAGTTAATAATGTAAAAATAGGTTTACTCTCTCCTTTGTTTGGGATTTCTGATGTGCTCATTAAGGACTTTGTAATTCAGAGGGTAGCCTATCGCTCATAGCCCACATAAAGCATAGACTTTGAAAAGCTAAATATTTTCTATCCGATTATATTTATTTAGAATTCGTCTCTTTATCTAACCGGAAATAGCCACCATATATCGATACGGTTCACCTTCTAGATTAAAAGTAAGATGGGATTCGATGTATGGAGTCGCATTTTTATGATCAAATTTATTTCTCACCCGTTTCGGTTTTTCCGTCATCCTACAGACCCTCAAACGTTTATTAGAAACTGTGCTTCTCCGTGTAGTTAAACCCAGTAAAAACACAACTATTTATTTGAAAATACATTTTGCGTTTTAATAATTTTTTATATTACAAATATCTTAATAAATAGCCTACCTCCTAAATTACACATTTTATCAAAACTATAGGACAATAGAACGCAAGAATAGTATGCAACTATAACATGATGAAAAGTTAATAGATTAAGTAAAAGTTGCTTAAAATTTAACTATCCATCCATACTTTTTCTCACATGCTTAATCCCAAGTGGGGGGTACTGGTGCCTATCTCAAACTGTCAATGGGCCTTCTAAACTTAAAAAAAAAAAAAAAAAAAAAAAAGTATATATTTTTATTCTGAAAGGCAAACTGAATAGATGTGTATTCTAAAATTTGATGTATTTGGATTTATACAAATGTACTCCAGATATTATCTGGTTGGCTCATCAGCTAGTGTTAAATATGCATAGTTTTTGTGCTTTTGAAAACAATAAAAAGTAAGTCTGATTTAAAATGTTTATCTGACCTTGCTTTCATATTTTACCATGTTTCATACTGACATTCTATTGATCAATCAAGGAGAAATAGTGGTAAATCATCGAGCTCTTTGCTTTTCCTCACAGTAACCCACTCTCTGAAGTATTTCTACACGGCATCTTCTGGAATCCCAAACTTCCCTTCATACGTGTCTGTTGGGTTGGTGGATGATGTTCAGATCAGTTACTGTGACAGCAACACCAACAAAAACGTTCCTAAACAGGAATGGATGACAAACATGGGCCAGGAACACTGGGAGAGGGAAACCCAGATATGTCTTGAAAAGCAGCAAACCTTCAAAGGCAATCTTGAAATTGCAGGAATACGATTCAACAATAATAGAGGTTTTTTCAATATACAATTCTGTCACATATTTTTTCAAACTCTGCTGTTTGTAAAGTTTATAGTCATCAGTGATTATTATACACATCTATTATTGAATGCTCTTCTACCATCTTTAATTTTCAGTCTTCTCTCTGTCCTTTGCATGCTGATAATGGACTCTGTCATGTTCATGTCTTATAACCTATTGATTATTTGTAATAGAAAGTTAACAGTTTCATCAAGGTTTTCTCATTTTTAACAACAGCAGGGATTTTATTGAGTGAGTCTGCTTATGCATTTTAGTGTTTGAAGCTTTAATAGATTTTTTTTTAGATCACTGTTACACTCTTATTGTGTATTTGAGAGGTTTCATTTTTTTATGTTAATTAAACTGTGTCTTTATCTCAGGAGTTCACGTCTATCAGGAGATGTACGGTTGTGAATGGGATGATGAGACTGAAGAGGTTAGAGGTTATGATCAGATTGGTTATGATGGAGAAGATTTCATAATTATGCACCTTGAGAGTGAATCATGGCTCGCTGCAAAAAGACAAGCTGTTATCAGCAAAAACAAGTGGAATCAAGATAGAGCTGCTTTAGCATATCAAAAGACTTACTTTTATCAGGAGTGTCCTGAGTGGCTGAAGAAGTATTTGAACTATGGGAGGAGCTTCCTGTTAAGAACAGGTACTGCTAAACTTTTTGTAATTTAATTTGCACAACTAAGCCGATGTTGACCCTCTATTGATTTATAACAAACTGCATCAAAGTTTCCATGTAGATCTTGGGCTGTGAAGCCTGTTTTTAACTGCATTATAATGTCAGTCCCCATGCTTTTTAATTTCTATTAGACAACTTTCTCAGAGATTAGATAATTAAGCTTTGACTCTCTCTATATATGTATATTGTGTGTATAATGCAATGACCAAAATAACTATTAAACATGTGAGTGAGAGTCATTGATAAGGGCTAAATATACTTTTTGTAATAAACAAAACTAAAAAACAAGCTTTGGGATAGTGGTTAGGGCATAGAGCTTGGAATCCTAAGGTTCTGAGTTCGACCCCCGCTCCTACAGAATGTCACTCTGACTGCCTGAGTAAAGACCCTTAACCCCCACACTGCTCCCGGGTGCCACACAATGGCAGCCCACTGCTCCCCAAGGTGATGGATTAAATGCAGAGTTAATTTCAGTGCTCTGTACTTGTGACAGTTTAATGACAATAAAAGCTGAAAAAATAATAATAAAAAATAGAGTAGTTGCAAGCAAATTGTATCTCCAGGTATAATCAACTTAAGATTTTTTTTAAATCTATTTTTATCCTCAGATCTTCCCTCAGTTTTCTTCCTCCAGAAGTCTTCCTCTTCTACAATCAGCTGCTTTGCTACAGGTTTCTACCCCAACAGAGCAGAAATGTTCTGGAGGAAAGATGGAGCAGAGATCCATGATGGTGTGGAGAAAGGAGAGATCCTCCCTAACAATGATGGAACCTTCCAGATGACTGTGGACATAGATCTGTCATCTGTTCCACCTGAAGACTGGACCAACTATGAATGTGTGTTTCAGCTCTCAGGACACAGGGATGATATTGTCACCAAACAGGAGAAAAGCAAAATCAGGACCAATGAAGGTAAAAATATAAACAGATGGGTAACAAAGTTAGGAAATAAATGTTAGTGTATTAACAGAATACTAACAGAATAGCAATATGCATGGGCTATGAATGGTCTTATTCATTGTAACTTTTTAATTTTAAAACACAAATCTTAGTTTAAAACTCAGGTTTGAAATATGTGTTTTGTTTTCTCCACAGTATATTTAGCCCTCTCAATGATTCCCACCCTGATATGTTTGATAGTTCTTTTGGTCATTACATGGACTATTCTTGCTTTATTCATATGGAGGTACAAATGGACAACAGGTGAGAATTGTCAAAATTGTGTTTTTTTTTTTTGTAGTTTCAGAGTTAAAATAGTACTATATGTTATGGTATATTTTATAATATATGTCATAATATCTATCTATAGTCTCTAATAGGTGTCAGTTAAATGTGTGAAACTTTTAAAACAAAAAGAAATGCTGCAAACTGCTCGGCAGTTTTTTCACCACCAACACTAACTATAAGTGCTTTGTTCTTCTTTCAGCCAAGTTTCCTCCATTACGTAAGTTAATCATGTCTAAAACACCCCAATTTTTTAATTTAAATTTCATGAAATTTCCTAATATAACTAACAACTTAAAGCATAGTTTGACCAACACTTTGCTTTTTTTACTCACAGCTGTAGATAACCGTGAGGTTGAGGAGCTAATGCTTATTCCATCCTACGACATGAAGCTTCACATACATTGACTTATTTAATGTGTCAAAAAAATTGCTTTCAAGCTGCATGAAGAAGATCTATAATGTAATTTCTTCTGTAGTATGTGTCCATGTACAGCCTTGGTATGGCCAATAGATTTTGGTTTTATAATAGGAAACCAAAGTCAGAAAATTTAGTTTCCTTATGTCCTAATATAATAAAAAATAAACCAAAATAAGCCGCTTTTCAAAGTTAAGTTTAGAAATTCCAAATCAGAAATCAAAAAGGCTGGCCTGTTATCAGTTATTAAATTCTAAAACAAATATTAAAAACACATTTTGATTTTTGTTCTTTCCTAAATTCAGCCTCCCCCTTCTATCTCCCTTTTGTTAGTGACCCCAAAGCAGCCATGACACTGGTATAGGGAGACTTTGGACCATTTTAGTCAGAGGTATTGTATTTGTTTTTATTTTTACCAAGTTGGTGGACTGATGGACTGCCTCTAGGCTCTCACATTACTTCTTGTCAAGAGCAGTAATGTTTACAAATGAGCTTCATTGCTCAGCTGTTGTGTGGGCATCATTTATGACTTTGAGTTTTTAGAGTGGGTTTATTGCCTAAATGTTATAACAATAATACAAATTTTTTGTTAGTCCCCAGAGATGCGATTGAATGTGTATGTTTCATTATGGTACTACATTCATAGTGTTGAAGACGCACCAAATGACGCCTATGACTTCCTTTGGTCCAGAGCACAGTTTAGTTTATTGTGGTTTCAGGTTCATGTTATGCGTAATAAACCCTTTTTTTAAACTGCATGTACTAATGTATTCATTGTTGAAGTTTCAAGTCTTAACCCCAAGATGATTTTTAAATCTTTTTTTGATTTGTAGATCTGTATAGATGAACCTTCAAAGACAATTTGGAAAAGTAGATGTGGATATGACAGAAGGGATAGTACTAGTGTCTTTGATTGCACATATTAATTTAAATTGGGCTACTCTCATTTCATAATGGAATAGGTATATCGGTAACATTTCTACTTTCATTTAGCTGATCAACAAAATCACACGTTAGCATTCACCCTTCCATCATAAGAAAATATCTTTATCTAGACATTAGAAATTATATTTCTAATGGAAATTTCTATATTGGAAATATAGCATAGATGAAAGTTTGATTAAAATTGGTTTATTTAATAATTTCACACAATGTTCCCAGTAGCTGTAGGGGAGAGAAAAGCCTTGCTGGCTTTATTATACCAGAATACGGAGTGGGGCTTATAAATTCAACCTTATCCTACTTCCTTGGCAGTTCTCCATGGTAGATTTTTGCTAATAGTTTAGTAGTTGCTATATCACTATTGATATAAAACTATTCTTTGACAAAACTTGATTACAAAAATTGGGTAAAATAGAAAATAACGTTCTTGCAAAAAATCAACAACTATATAGTGAGCCACCTGCCAACCAAGGTCTTCTCAAACAGTCAAAGCATTGAACAGCCGTGCCTTGATTTCTGCTGGTGTTGCATTTTCTATTAGAAAAGAAAGAGAAAGTTGATGTTGGGGGATTTGTCAACTTTTCAGTACACAAACTGCTTTAAGCTTTATTGTATCTAATTCAATAAGATCCTAAAAAAAGATTTTTGCACTTACTAAGTGCATCAATATTACTTTAGAGGACATTCATCATCTGCTTGGGACCCACAGTTTAAATGGTGGTTCCTCCAAAACGCAGTCCTCTGAAGATAAGTCGGATTTTAATTAGATAAGCTCTACATCCTAATCAGAAAAAAATGAGTGTTTTTGATGGTGTACTGTGTTTATTAGTTCTTTTTAACTATGTCAGATTTAAGGTAATTGTCAGAAAAGGGAATTAAATCTCATGAGAAATGTGAGCATGCAGTAACACAATACTGTCACCAGGTGGCGTTCATTTGTTTAGAGTTGTTGCAGTGTGAATAGAAATAGTTGTATTTAACAACTGTTTCATTACTGTGAGCCAGTATAGCCACTAAAATCTTAATGAGCGTCCTCTTAAATCACACTCACGCACGTAATTTACATATATAAATTTAGGCTGTGGTTGTCATCATGTACAGTATAAGCATAGAGCAACTATGTTCCGCTGATCATTGAAAATCATACCTTAGCTTTTCCTGTAGACCACAGATATTTGCGCTGTGGACAACAGGGTGTTGTAAACATAATTTGGTGCATCAACAACAGTAGAGAACACAGGCAGAGGCATACAATCTCATCCCTGAACGCTCGCAATTAAATAACTATAAAATCCATCTACATAAAAATGGAGCAAAGTCCCACTAGGTATATCAGTGTGTATGTTTCATTATGTCTAATGCTTTAAATCTGCAAACTGTTCTAAAAACAATTTAAACTTTTAACATTTAGACTCTGTAACACTAACTGTTTAAGAAGTAATATTTCTGCTACACTGGAATTCATTTAAAGTTTAAATTGCATTTCAGAAATTGGGGATTTCCAGGCTAGTTTAAATAATATGCTATTTGAGAAATATTATTTTCAATGTAAATACAATACAGTCGAGAACTGTAGGTGTTTTAATACATTTAAATAAAATAGCATCACATGAACATTGCCATGTTGTTTATACTGCACTGCATTCTAGGTAAATGATGTATGCCAGGTCCTGTAGTGCTAGCTCAGTCCAGCCAAATGGTAACAATAGCTCCATTTATTGTGTTGGTTCCAGTCCAACTGCATCATCAAATCAGCAAAAGTGTGTGTGTGTGGGGGGGATTTTATTTTTGAAGTAATTGTGAGATTTATCATTTCCACAAAAAGGGGTTTTTATTAGGAATATAACATATTTAGGCCAAAATGTTCAACTAGTCTTGGATCCCTGTAAAACAAGCCAGGAAGGAGGAGAAACATTTCTCTCATGTTTAGAGAAACTAGGTTTCCTGATTTGTGCCTCAATTTTTACTTCTATCCAGGTGTCCGAACCTGGTTCATTTCTCATTTTTAGTCGCAACGATGCTTTGTAGCCATTCTAAGTTTGTATTTGTTCAAAAATTAAAAAAAAAAACAAAACAAAAGGAAATGAAGAAAACCAAGGTTATATTTCTGAATTCTAAAAAAAACAAGATATCCTTAAAAATGTTTTAAAAGAGAACTTAATCGGGATTTTCACATCAACTGTATTCCTTTTAAAATACAATTAAACAATTGTAACATTATGAATTATAGGGCTTTTGTATCATGAAACTAGAGATTGTATAATAAGGGGGAAATTAACTATTTTTTAATTAGATTTTGAAATGTGCAGGTATTACCCTGATTTACATGATATGTTCATGAAGAAGATCATTTCTGTGAGAAATACAGTTATAAACTAACAAGTAATTTAATAATTCTGGTCAGAAATCCATTAGAATATTCTCTATAATCAACAATAAATCTATCTTTTGACAATGTTATTCTAAATTACTACAATATGCCCTGTCAGAAGGATGGAAAGGACACTGTCTGATCATCACTTACATTTCAGGCAGGGTGTTACCTAACCAAAAGATTTATTTAAAAATAAATCAAGCCACTAGAGGGGGTAGTTATCACATCCCCTGTTCTGATTGTTTATTTAAGTATTCCTGTTTTAGACAAAAGAAAAAAAAAAGATATATTAAGGGCCTTGAATTATTAAGTTCTAAACTGTATTTCTAAATTATTTGAACAGCAATAAGTATTTACTTTTTTTGCTCAATGAAAAATATATATCAACATATTTACCTTCTGCTTTTACTTTCATTAACAACCCCAAATTGTCTGTTCTACCCAGATATAGGTGATGTCATTGCGCAGAGTGATAAAAAGCTGTCTGTGTCAACATGGTGATTTTTATTGTTTTGCTATTCCTGAGATTAGGAAAAGCCACAACTGGAAGGTTAACTATGTTTATGTTCAGCAACAGAACAGCAAACACGATATTTAGATATTTCCCCCTTATCTTTTTATATATTTTTGATGTCATTGGAGCAGCCAATTTGTTTTAGCTGTTGTAAATAGAAGTTTTGCTGTGGTCTTAAAGCATATTGTTTTGCAATATTTAATCAGAAAAACAGGATGTTCAAATAAACTTTTCCAAAAAATGTTCACTCTCGCTTGATGTGGAGTTTGGCTTTTGGGTAAAAGGGATAATTTGCAAAACAGGAGAT